CCCCCCAATTTATTCTGTTCTAGCACTGCAGTTCTCGTGACTCACACCACAGCAGCTAACGACGCTGCTATACACCACTGACTAATGACTACTTTAATTTTACTGTAGGCACATAGGAGTTTACCTCCTGCTCAATTAAAATGACATCCTGTATTCTAAGAAAGTGTCTGAAGGAAAGAACGAGTGCCTGGGATACACTGCACGCCGAATGACGACCGCTTTGCTCGTGCAGACAAAAAGGACGGTCAGGCACTGACCGAGACAGTACATCTGCCAGGATAGCTCTACTCCAAGATTTAAAAACTGAAAAAAAACCCCAAACCCAAGTAAAACCAAAACTATCTGTATAAAAATATAAAGGGACCCATTTGTTTGAATGACTTGGACGGGAATGGGCTTACCAGGACTCAGGGAAAAAACAAACTGCCTACGTGCTCTGTTTAAGACACAGAGATACAGACCGACACGCATACGTCTGCCCACATATTGCGCGACGATCCATGGGTGACGGCATGCATCTCTCTATCTTGTTGTGTCATTTTAAAATTGCATAATAGCAGTGGTACCTCTGAATGCAGTCATTTTACAGTGGAAAAGCGAAGTTCACAGTAAGTACCAGAATATGTAACCACGCTTAGAAACGAGACTCCAGCCTTATGCAATGACTTCATTTAAAGCAATCTTTTTTTTCTGAATGGATGCTTATAATATCACCTTGCTTGTCACTAGCAGGTCAGTACAGATGAAACGGAATCCCCGTGCTTTTACATCACCTTTAGACTGACGAAGAAATTGTTGCTTCTTTTATCTAAACCTCAAAAATCACAACTATGCTCATGCTCAAAAGTGTTTTTGGAAACAGCAGCCCTTCAGAAACATGGAAATCAACTGGCTTAGAGTTTCTTTAACCCTTCTGTTATCAATGTTTGATCCAGTTAGATCTTTATAAAAACGTAACCTTAAGATCTCATTCAAGATCCGTGCTACAGAGTAAGTCCCTTCCTGCTACCTCCTCGCTATGTAAAGCAGTCCTTGTTGCCTGAAGCAAAGAAAAATAAAATACACATAACCTGTACATGGACAAAACATTGCATGTTAGAAGTAATTTTAGTTTACAATGTGAAGTGATAACATTACTTGATATCACTAAGGGAGGAACAAACCTTCACGCAGTTTCTTCATTAGTTCTTCAGAATACTTCATTGCTTTTAAGTGAACAAGAACTTGAGGAATTCTGTAGTCAGCAAATATAGTCAGACTAGAAATGTCATCAAAAAAGCCATCTCCTTTGCCTTCTAACACACTCCACGTATCAGCCACAAGTATTTGTGCCCGTTTGTAAAAAGACACTTTTTTTTCCTGATGAAAGAAATTTATGAATTATGTAAGTGCCTGAAACATCAACACATACAGCAAAAAACACCTACAGAGAGAGACAGGTAAGAGTTACACCATTCTATGAAACGTAAACTACCGTTTGGTTAAGCAAATACATTACTTCACTAAAACAGAATAAAAGTGCAACACTCAAACACCTTACAATCTAAACAACATCGAACCACAAACAAGTATCATGTGGAATACTCATAACTAAATTGAAATAAAAGAAAAAAAATAATAGAAGTCACTGCAGCAGAATAAATGTTGTTTACATTCCGCTTGGATTTCAGAACACATTAATGTTTTTCTGCTTCCACCTGGCAAACACTGTAGTTGAAGTCCAGTAACCATTAATTCTTTCAGAAACCCTAGAGTTCATGCAGCCTTTTATTCTGAGGAGAGAAGGCACATATTTGATTAGAGAAATAAAACAGTTTGTTCATCACTTTATCCATGAAGTTAAGGAAATAAAATTCTACTAAAAAATTCAAGGAGTGCTTCTCTGTGTTGCGTAGTGTATCTTGTGAGTTAAAGAGGAGGGAGGAAAACTAATTCCAGTAGAAGGTATATTCACAAACATAAGATTTTCTTAAGATACTATGAGTGGTTCTATTTTTGTCACAAACTTCTTTGCTGGTGCTGATCTGCAAAGATTTACATGCTTTTGTGACTACTCACAAGGGGAAAAACTAAACATATGCTATGATCTGTATGCTGCTGAGGTTTTCACTCTATGGTGAACACAATGTGTGAATGTAAATCCGCATTTTTAAGAAAAAATGGTATTAGTGTGTGGTGGTCTTTTCCTCCCATTACAGCTAGACAATATTTTTGACTTTTAACAAGGTGTGCTAAGCAACAGTATGTGACTGGAATGGCTACTCTGAAATACAAGCAGGTGAGGGGATTCGACTTCTTTCCAGTTTTATTCTGCCACCCTTCATATCACCACAATTTACAAATGGCATTTTGTTAAGCTAATTTAATTTGACTCTGTTGCCAAGATGCTACAACTATTCCTGAGAGCAAAGCATATTTTTCTGTCATTAAATGCTATTTTCCAAAAACACCGAAAACAAGATGTCTGACTACATTTCACAGAACTTCTGCAAACATCCTGAAAACTCCTTTTTTCCCTCATTCTATACTTGACATAGATGCACAATCTTACTTCTAGAGAACACACACCATTTTGTACATTAAACAATAAAACACCCCTTGAAACTTCACAACAGGAAGTAAACCATAGACCAAACCCAATCACAGCTCCGGCTACCCCAAAGCTAATGTAAACCAAGGACATAGCCCTTTTATAGCACGAAGATTTTCCCGGTACAGTGAAGAACCGATCCTCCCCAGCACCACACCATTTTGCAAGAGCAGAGGAAGGGAGAATTCAAACGGAACTTTTCACCTCATGCTGCAATTTAATTTGGAAGAATAATACTCTATGGGACTTGTCATTGAGCAGATTAATTTATAATTTAATTGTTTCAATCATCGTTGATTTTTATGCTGCAAAGAGCTTCTGAAGTTTATGTAAAATTATCAGTATGAAAAAGACTATTAAGCATTTCTAGCAAATTTTCCCACCATTCTTTGCAACAGAAAGCAAGGAAAGCATTGGGTGGATGATACTATGTCTCAAAGGTGGTATCACTTGTCCAAAAACAGAACATGTTACCAGATGGCAATACAACTATGCTTCCTTTATTTTTCTGCAACACCCTCACTTTCCAGAAAAAAAGCTACCACATACAGGGACACTTGAGTCTCCTCTCCACCGCAATGACCTGGTATCAAGAGACATAACTAATTATGACCTACTGATTTTAAAAGAAAGAAAAAGTACTGTGTTGGCAAAGAGCAAGTCTTACTTCTGAGAGCTCAACCTGCTGCCATAGAAATGACGTTGATAACGTGATCCATGTCATCTCACATTAGGTGTTAACACTGATTTTTAAAAAATTGAACAAGTAGGTTGTAAAGTTGGTCTACATTATTTCACCCACCTTCCAAATACACATCTTGCTTAGTGAAAGCAGAAAAACAGCTTCCACATCCATGCAACAGGCTTTACTACTATGTCTGTGCTTACGGCCTGGCATCGTTTTTGGAACCTCTTTTCATTCTGTAGTCTGCTGCTGCTTTAAGGAGGCTTGCTTTATAAAACACTCAGCATCATCTCATGAAAGACATTATGTCAATAAATACAGTCACTATAAAGATAAGAAAATACTCTGGTTTTCACTCTACTTGGAAAATACTTGCTTTTTGACCATAAAAATCATCAAAAAATTACTTTATATGTAAAAAGTCCCAACAAGTTAAACCAGTAGCTTCAAACATTAGTTAGAACGAACCCCTGATTTCTCATGTAAACAAACCTTACTTCATAGCAGGAGACCAAGGAAAATAAAATCATGCCACCTACTGAAGGGCAGATTTAAGTGATAAATGTAACAGGTTCCAAGCTCCAGCGATTTGTGTGCCAGCGAGTTAGCTTGAACAGACTGCACAGACTATTAGTATATGCTGCTCTGTCACCAGAATAAAGTCTTTTGGACATAATGATGTAAACGCTGAGTACTACCGCAGACAAAACTGAGCACAGGAGCAGCTACATATGTCATTGATGCTAAATAAAGAGCATGCCTGTACAGGAAAAAGCAGAGACACAGAAAATACCAGATAGTCTCTGTTTACTTCCCATCAGTTTCTTTCAGGAAAACAGTTTCCAAAAGCTTCAGTATACTGCCAACCCTGACAAAAAAACGGGTTACTTCTGGCCTGTAGTCACATGTGCAATGCCTGTTGAATCAACAGTTACAGTGCGGATTCCTGGTAGTTGTACATTTTCATAATTCTACTGGATTTTGATTTCCTTCATTACCTCGGAGGGCCTCGAGGTAAAAGCAGAAAGAGAGAGGAGAAAGGGGCTTAGTAGGTTTCAAGAGAAAAAAAGAAATTAAAAAAGATTCTCATTTTTCAGGCAGGAATTATCTCAAAAATTGTGCAGTTGTAAGGAGCACAAAGGAGTCGTGATCTAATTGGGACTTACGGTACATAAAAATAAATTAAAACAAAGTGAGGAAGACAGAGACAGCATATGAAAAAATTGGCTCTCCTCTAGGGAAAAAAAGTGACTCTTGTCATTAGAAATACATTCCTGACTAGTTAAGGACTACCATGGTTTAACTCGGCAGCCAGCAAGAAGTCGTACTTGATTTCTTAGCAAAAACTGAAAACATCAGTGTTATTAGCATTCTTGTACTAAACCAAAACCACAGCAGCTACTGGGACTGGGAGGAAAACTAACTCTGTCCCAGCCGAAACCAGGACAAAGACTTAAGACAAACAAGATTCTTTCACTGTTAATAAACTGTGTGATTTTGTTTTCAGAGGTTCAGACTGACAAAGAAATGAAATCTCAGTCATTTTACCACAGATTAACAAAAAAGTATACTGTGGTCCAAGAGTATTACATGTAACTGTATGTCTGATATTATTATATTATGCACGTCTGTATGACTCACAGCAGTTTACATAATTAAGACCAACTGCTTCAAAGCCTGATTTTCCTTTCATTACAGAGACCGGTATCTCTACTGATTCGAGGTAAAAATATTAAAATAATAGCAATTTTCCTTCTCATTTCCCTGAATTTTACTTTCGAATATCCCGAGTTCCACGGAAACATTCCTGTTCACCTTCCATCTCCTGGATTAAAAACCTCAACAATTCACAAATATTAGATCAATTCTGAACTGATTGTCCTCTCAGAAAAATCTACATCGACAACCTACGAGCTATCTTTTAAAGTCACAATCGGTAAGGAGTAAAATCTTATCGTAAGAAATTCAGTGTTGGAACCACCTTACCTCAAATACAGCTTCATCTCTGTAAGAAGGAAAATTTTCCAGTATTAGGCGTAGCAGTTTCTGAGCACTTTTCTCACTCATTTTAACACAGCTGAGGAAAGAGCCTCCGAACTTCTCCAACAAAACCGTTCCGCTTTCATTCAGCACCCGATGTCTCTCTTCAATCAAAGGTATGGGCACTTCCGTGTCAGAGCGAAACACGTGCCGAACTTGGTCAAGCGTCATGGTGGCAAAATAGGATGCACTGGTAATAGGTATTCCTTTGGAAAAGGAAAAATGTTTAGGCTATCATAACCTATGCTCAGACCTAATGCAGTGGCCTGCTACAGCTGAGGGCATTCACACATCAAGATCTAAAGAGCCTATCAACTCCTAAAATCAACCAGGTGTTCAGCAATAACCACAGCTGCTGAAAACTAACATTGTGTTTGCACGTAGCGCTTCCTTCTACAGGTAACAGCTTCCAACATGTGACCACGGAAACTTTCTTGCTTTTTACATGTAATTTTTCCCAGTTGCTCAGTCTTCATCGTTGAGCGCGGTGTTTACATAGTACTCTGGCAGACATGGTTAGTATATAGTTAGTGTAGTCAGCACAGGCCTGTTTTCCCTTGGCTCTGAATCACACTGTGCATTTGCAAAAGGCACCTTGATGCAAACCTTCCCTTAATTTAGAAATACATAGGAAATGAATTAAAACTTCCATCTATACCTACAAATAGATTTTTTTTTTTTTATTTTTTCCCCCTGATGACAGCAACAAGAGTGAGCGCCACAGCACTGCGCCTGGAGGCTCGTGGGCTTTCAGACCCCCCTGCAGCCGCTCTGGTACCAGCTCAGCCCAGAGTATTCTCAGTTTCAGCCTCACCTTCTCACCGTCGTGGGAACACGTGCGGAACAACAGAAGCCATGACCGACCGACCACATACGTTACTCGGAGAGCCCAGCCAGAGCCGCAAGCTCCAGCACAAGGTTGAAGAGTCTCCCAGCTGCCTCCCCCCGAGCTCCAGGCCCACGCCGGCACGGCAGGCAACGATTTGCAGAAACGGGTCCCGTTCCCCTCACACCCGACCCCCCCGGGCCCCCGCCGCCCGCT